CGAGGTACTGGTCGGTGTGTGTGCGTTTTCTGTATACACTTGTGAGCAGTTTACCGTCTGGTTCCCTTGTTACGAGGCTGTCGAGGAAGGCGATCTTGTTGTTATTCTCAGTTTCCATGGTGAAGCGGATGGACGGGTGTTGTTGGCTGAGGTGGCTCAGAAAGTTGTCCGCGTTGTGCTGTTTCATGACGGTGAACGTGTAATCTATATAGCGCTTCCATATTCTCGGTGATTCTGGGGCGGTAGCTAAGGTTTGTTCGTCGAAGGCTTCCATGTATAGATCGGCAATCAAGGCGGAAATCGGGCTGCCCATCGGTGCACCTTCTTGTTGCTCGTAGAGTGCTCCGTTGTACTTAAAGTATGTGAATCTCAGGACGAGGTTTAGAGGGTCTGCAATCTGGGTAGGTGTGAGCGCTGTGCGGTCTTGTAGGCTCGGATCGTTGTTGAGTCTGTGTAATGTGGCCTCTACTGTTTCTTCTATAAGGACGTTGGTGAGTAGCGACTCGACGTCAAAGGATATCATTACTTCGTCTGTTTGGATGGTCTCTCTGTTGATGATGTTCGCAAATTCTCCTGAGTTCTTCACTGTGTAGTTGGAGTTACCTGTGAGAGGAGACAAAATTCTAGCTAGGTGACCCGATAGGTCGTAAGCAAGGGTGTTGACACAGGACAATGTTATGTGTATTTTTGGTACGCCGTAGATTCTGGGTGGTTGCTTCTGCTTCGGCCTGATCTTGTAGGTTCCCGCTACATTTGAGTTGTTGCAGCTTTTCCGTGGCTGCTTTCTCCGTTTCGTTACCAAGTGGCTCTGGAAAATCTTTAATATATCAAGCAGCGCCAGTGATCACGCTGACATGTGCCACATATTATCAAGCTACATAATTTAGCATAAATTAGAATAACGTCACAGAACACGATTAGTGTCAGGTTATCGCAGACCTTCCCTCGCTTCCGTTTCACCTTGGGGGGAGGGTACGGGTATATGTAGGCTTGGTCGTGAGAGAGATACGAATTTTGGCAAATTTCATCATCAGAGGTATGTTGTTGTTAAACAAGAAACACTTTGATCCATGCGCAAATTGCAATTTGATAAGTTGTCATTTTAAGAATGAGTGGATGAGCGCAATTTTTTTAGAATTCGTCGAAATGGAAGTCATGCAAACAATGGGATTAACTTTAGTTTGGAAGGGAATTGAAGACAATACGAGGGGGTGGCTAGCATCCGTGATCCTGGGGTACCCGCAAATGTCATTGTTGAGGATCCCACTTTTTTGCTCATCCGTAAGTTAAGTAAAGTAAAACACGGCGTGGAGGTCGATATAACAATCTGGTAAGTATCCTCTGTTTGACACAGTATGACCCCCCTTCCCCCTTTGAAAAATCCTAGCTATGCCCCTGCAGTACATAGTCAATTAGAAACAAGAAGCCCGAATTTTGAATTTCACGATTCTCCAATGTAAACTGTCTTTTGTTTGTTTAACCTCTGCAGAAGAAACACGTCCATGACCAGTAAATTGTAATTTGAATTAATGGTTTATATACGCACATTAGTCCATCGACAGTCCTGTTGATAAATGCTTCAGATGGTATCTCAGATATATGGTTATGTCGTAATATCCTAGACGTAGAACACAATATGATTTACGTTTTAAATTTTAAGTTAAAAAATAGTTAGTTTCTTGGGTTTGCTACGCTTATGAACTCACATAAGCTGGGAAAGTGTGCACACGCAAACTCAAAATAAAAACTGAGCTCATGACCTAGGGTTGACATTAATTGATAATTAGTCTCGACTGATCTCTGAGAACCAAGAATTAATTTGATTTTTAAGCATTGGGTGCATATGTTATAGGCTACAAGACTCGTCATTCCGAATACATTTTTAGCAGCCAAACTATTTACCTCCGTGGCTCAGAACGGTTTTAGTTCAGAGCCAACTCAATTGCAGGAGCCTCTGAACCGTTAAAAAAACGTGGAGGAAAGGTGAAAATTATTGTGGTCATTTCAGTTCAATGAAAACTAAAGTTAAGTGAAAATTTAGTGAAAGGACATGAATTTGATTTTCGGGGTTTCTTGTAGGGAATCGCGAAATCCTTTCCTTTCCTTTTTCTTTAAAATTTTAAGCAAAGCCTCAGAAGCAATGTATTTATCATGCTGGGAGCGCAGAAGCGAACATAATTCAGCCAATGTGTCTTATCTGCTTTTCTAGATGCTCGTTCAGAATTTTTTTCCCTTCTCTCCTTTCTTTTTCGTTCTTTTATTTCACGCGAGTACTGAGACGACAATTCATTTAAACTGCTTCACGGCAATAAAGAAACAAAATTCCCTTTTACTAAACTACATCCTACAATTTCTAGATACAAGTTTTCAAGATCATTGGTTCACAACATAAATGTAAGTTAGGTTTTAGAAAGGCTCAGTATCCTCCTTTGAAGGGTACGTCGATAACTTATCCCGGCCTTCGGTAAATGTGTCAAGATATTTCATAAAGAGACATGGGCGTCTCTCAATTGAATGGGAAAGTAATTTTAAATGGTTAACCTTGCTGCTCAGGCTTTCCCTTTTTAGCTGAATATGAATTCGTTGTATTATTTAAAATAAATACTTACAAAGAATGGAAGAAAAAGGGTTTCGCCAAAGACAAAGCTTCAACTGGTAATTCCTTCAAACGATTGTTCGACAAATCCCTAAAATGAATTCAACGAAGAATGTTTTTGTTTCAGTAGGTAAGCCTGCGCTAGAAAAAGACATGTGTACAATTAGAATACAATCACAGGTTACAGAATAGAAGGGAAACAATCGGGTGAAGAGAATTTCGTTAATGAAGACTTTGTATTTTGAATGCAATCGGAAAGGAAGTCGCTGGACCGTAAGGACACCATCTTCGAGTAAGATGTTACCAAGTTGGCATGGACTCACCTGCGTAACTTTCGGTGTTATATTTCGTAAGTCTTTAAGTCGTCTTTACAGGTTAAAATGGAGAGTAAAACATAACTAAAGCTATGAACTTTTTCCAGGCGTTTAGTTAATAAAACAGAACGCGATTGTAATCTGTGCAATAACAGCAGCAGAGGGTGGCTCGGGTCGGGTCTTACATTTTCTGTGAAATATGTACGGGTTATTAAACAATTATTCACCTCAGGCTTAGCAAGAATTGTTGAATATTATTTCCAAGTATTCACTGACCCTGAAACGAATAACTCTTGTAATATAATTGCTCAGGTGATTTCGCCTTCTGTTGTAAATTATTACTGTTATACCAAACTTTGTAGCCCCTTTCGAGCTCATCAAAATGGTAATTTGCCTTCTATCGCGTTCATTATTTCCCCGTAATATTGGCAAAACGTGAAGCAGCCATTTTGAAATTTAGCGCCCCCGCTATAATCTTGTGCGAGGTGATTATAGTAGGATATGATGCAATACTCGACCAATCAGAGCTCGAGTTTCTCTAAAGTCACCTGAGCAATTATACTTATGTTCAATAATCCACTTAGCTACTTTAATCATCACTATCATGGTTCTACATGTAATATTCTAACGCACTGTATAATTTTGGCACATTATTTTGAAATGCGTTATCATAGCTTCAGTTGTTGACCCTCTCAGTACTTATTCTGGAAACATTTTGCAATTTTGGAAGTTTTAGCATCACTTGTTTATCATCGCTTGTCTATTATCGCTTGTTTATCATCGCTTGTCTATATTAGGTCAACAGACCAGAGTTTGAACAATCTGATGGTATCATGACACTCACTAAGTCTCCCTACAATGGACCATGATGCGAATAATTTCTGCCTACGGTCGTGTTTCATGGAAACATCAAAATTAGTGTATATTAAACACTCACACGACAAACAGATATTTTAAACCCCAACGGTTTAAAAAGGTCTCGGGATGAAGGCGTTGTAACTCATTTCCAGAGAGGAATCTATGAGTGCGAATGAAAACATAATCTCTCTTGTTTATTGAAGTCGAAAAATGAGTCATGGAGAAATACATTTTGCCAAAACCTAGTAGCTCTTACAGCTCAGAAAGTATGAAATTATTCAGGAACATCCCCTCTCCAATACTTGATATATTGTTCTTGCTCAGATTTCTGAAAAGAGGTAAAGAAAGGTAAACGTGCTTGACATGTTAAACAGAGGACACTTTAAATCATCGTATCACTTTATAACACAAATCTAACACCGATATCAGAAATTATTAAAAACAGGATCATTGGATAATGCAATTCAAGAGTTCTCATTGGCTTAGCCAACATGGGCTTTGAGCCATGAAACTGTGCTCTTCAAATATCTCAAGAAATAAATATTTGCCTATTCCTCCTTTTTAAGCAAAGCATAATCACAAGATAGCTCATTCAGGTTTTTGAAACCCGTGCATGCTGTCGATCGAAGTTGAAGACGATGTAAATTTACTACGGGGGAAGGAGGGGTTGTGGGATTGTGCCTATAATTTAATGTCAAATAAAATTAAAGACATGTAAATGACTGAAGGTATAGTTCAACATTAACTCACAATGTCACGAGCGAAATGAGGTTCTGAAAAGAGTTCTTGTCGAGACTTGTTAAGAGATTCTCAGCCAGGTCTCTATATCAGGATTAGAGAACATCGATAATGACAATGAATTTTGACATAGTTAGCCCATATAGAAATTTGAAAACCACTGGGCCATAATAGCTCAGGCCCACGCTAAAATCTTTGAGTGATTTTTCGAGTCGTGTGTCAACGTTTCAATCAAATCACCCAACTGTTACTCATGAGTTACGTTTCTTATATGTCTTGGTATTAGCAAGTGCGACGTGGTTTTGACGTTGCACTTGAGGAAAAAAATTAGCATTTCGACCCAAGTTTTCAAAGCTAGAGCTACTTTCATCAAGTAGTCTTTCATAAGTCGTGAATAAGGGCGGTTATCACACGATGTAGTCACTTCTGATGTCGAACAAAATAATGCGTTGCAAATGCAAACCACCGGTCTTTTTCGAGCGAGAAGGTCGGCTGATTACGAGTCACGTTATAAAGAACTATACACAGTAAAAGAGGCAACAACAACAAACGGCTTAGGGATTACATTATCGACCTGCTTTGATCAAAGCTAAAAAAGCGATCAATCACATCGGTGCATTGGGCTTCGTAACGTGACGCATAACTAGGGTGCGATGAGATGTAAGTTCAGTTGAATTCAATGATATGGAATTGATCGGAATCATTAACAACCATAGCAAATACGTAAATTCAGCCTTCAATAACTTACAAGTATTCCAGAGAGTATGTTCCAGCAAATGTTTCATAGAAAATGTTTGTTACACTGTTCTGAGACAGATCGCTGATTAATAATAAAACAAAAATGGCGTTTGATTCCTGTGTCGCACCATTCAATAATAGCGACGATGGTATGGCACTATATGGTATTTTTGATTAGCTTCAGTTTATTTCAATGCAATGATATTATAGTAATGATGATACCTGGCTCCTGACTGTGAATATATAAAAATCGTATGTGTGAACTGCGGATAAAGACGTGAATATGAAGGTGATCTTCGCAGTATAGGACACTACCTGAGCAGTAGTGAAAAAAAGGCATGGAAAAAAATTCAAGCCTGTACGGGATTTAAACCCATGACCTCTGCGATACCAGTGCTAACACGCTAACTGACAGCTGGTCATTATCTAGGTTCCAAATGATAATATCTATTATCATAATAATAGTGGTAATGATGCTGATTAATTTAATTCGAAGAGAATTCATAAGACCTGAACACGGTTACCGGAAGGAGACGCAGAGTTTTTCATCATTGCTGTCCAAGATCGGTTAACAAGGACAAACCAAATAAAATATAAATAAGGGGTTCCTGGAAATGTTATAAGAGTTTAGTCACGATATATGGATACTCTTTAGAATATTCTGCTAGGTAATGCAGTAATGATGTAGTGCTACAAGAAAAGCTACTTCGTAAGCTTTAGGAACCTTCTAAAAGGCCTGATCATTGTTTATAAGAAGCAGTTACCTGGCGGGGTTAATTAAGCTGTCGGTAAAGACCGTCTCTTTGCAGTAGCCCTATACAGCTGTGGTGGTCTACCGTAAAAATTTGCTTACAGTAAAGAGTTACAGGAGATATTTGGAGATAGCAGTGTTTTCAATTTGTATCAGTAATGACTGGAGTTTTAAAAGTCAGTACAGAGTGGACTCATGTTAAGTAAATATGTTGTTCAGGAGTTGCTTCCTTTTTTACCTTACATACTTCACTTAAATAGACCAGCTGTTTCCATGAAATCGTTGTATATAGTATTTTTCTGTTGATTAGGTTACACTATTGGTTAAATGTTATATTTTTGTTTTTCAAAAGTGTGATTCAACTTACAGTTCCTGCAGTAACGTCAAATTCTCAAAAGTATAGTTAGCTATACTTTCGATCTTGTTGTTTGCAAGATGTCTATAGAAATAAAAAGACTAAATTAAGGATTCTTATTATTTGAGGTACTCGGCTATGAGTTCGATCCTGACCTATTAACCCCTACATTTTAATAACCGCTTATTCAAATAAAATATTCATTGACGAAAAGCAATGTTTCATACTTTTCCTATTAGAATTAAGAACAAGTCTCTGTAAGAATCAAACATCTTGGGAAATGAAAATTTTCAACCCCCCCTTCAAATTTTGCATGCAGTTAGGCACTCAGGGGGATGCAAAAAAATGCCCTTTTTTAAGGTTACAGCACTCTTGTTGCCGTGGTAACAACGGCTGCTTGTTCGAGGCCTGGGGCCTCATTTTCATACAAAAACGTCGCAAAAAGAGAGTGAAATGTTTATTTCTCATTCTCAAGCTAAATACAATATTACAAATTGGCACTTCTATCATACATAGTAACATCATTCGTCTTCATTTTGATGCATTTAATTTTCCCTGGGAGTGAATGTGAACAAACCAATAGATTATTTATCTCGGTACAGTTTCGGTCATTTTTGTTGTCGGGTAAAACAGGGAAACTGTTTATATGAATTTCTCCAAAAGTACACCGATTCTGGAGCTGAAACTACCCACCTAGCTGGTTATCCTCTTTTTTTTTTTTTGGTTGTTTTTGCTTCAGAAAGCGGAAATGTGCTGACATCTATTAAAATATCCATTTCTCGTCTTTTTGGGGCGACCGATGGAAACTTCACGGAGAAATACAGCGTCACGCCATCGTCATAACGCACATGTTTATGACAAATGACCTGTGTGAGGATAGTTTCGTGCAGATCAGCCGATTTCAACATGTTTCAAATGACATACACGTATAACAGTGTATCTTCAAAGGATTTCTGATTGCTCAAATTCCCATGAAAGAAGGTGCAGTACTCGGAAACTGGATGATATGCACACGATTTGAGGTATATGTTTGTAGTTACGTCGAGTTGTC